CTAGTTTTGTTTCAATGTAAACCTTATATGAACATATTAAATGAACCACTTGAATAATTCTAAAATACAAGTTATGAGCCAATGATCCAAGTTATGAGATAAAAGTGAAGGAATGTGTGGCATGCTCTTCCCAGTTTGTCACATGCAACATAATTAACATTTTGGCACGCATATAACAATAAATGCACTAATCAATTAATCATTTGCATAGCCTAAAGCAAAATTCTATGTCTTACAATTAATCTGAATACATGTACATCAATAAAGGTAAAAATAGGTACTCACTGACCACTTTGACAGATATACAAGAGGCGTCTCGACTGCAGGCCAACAAATGCCTCGTGGTCGGGCTAGAGCACTCGGAAACGATGTCATATTCTGACGTTGTTGCACAACGATAACACAAACGATATGGGAACGACTGCAAATTGAAATGTCAAATTATTATTGTGACAGGTAATAGACATTTGGCTCGTAGAGGCATCACACTTACCTGTCCCTCAGCGGTCATTACAAGTCTCAATAATATGATTAATATATTAATCTTGGATAGAAGTAAAAACACATTTACCATAGTTTCACATTTCGAATGTATTCAAAAACAATCGCACTGTTTTGATTTCAAAACTAACTCGATCGCGCGAAAAATCTAGACTGATTCGGGTACACATTAAATTTGATAATGTGTAATGTCATTTAAATACGGAAGCAATTTTGTGAATGCAAATCGTATTGCATTACAATCCCAAATAAACAGTCGTTTTAACATTTAGTTTTTTGACAAATTTTCTTGCCAGGAATATTTTTTGCTGTTTCTTGTCAACTTTCATGAAACGTACACTCTTACTCGTTTATGGTAAATTTAAATATGCCTAATCAGAAAACAAATGTCCGACAAAAACAATTTTCATTTATTCAAGATTTGTCAAATAAGGCAATTAAAAAAGCTATCAATGTAATTAGCAATTTTGTTTTTACGCATTCTTTAAACAATTCCAGAAAGTGATAGAACTAATTTATTACGCCAATATACAAAAATAAAATAATTTAATAGTAATAAATTAATTTTCAAGCTAAAATTAACAAAAATTCATACCTAGTTAAATACACATTAAAAATCATATAATAAAAGTCAATATTGATCATTTTATTAAACAATTTTTATAATAAATAATAAATAATTGAATTACGCAAATGAAGTAAACAATATTGCTAAAGAAGTGACAATTCCATTATAAGTGCCGAAGGACATTGCCTGATTACATAAAATGCCTTTACATGTGCTACAAGTAAAATTGGAACCTTCTGTGTACAAATCTTTCCTCCAATGTGCACAAGTTATATCACCAGGAATGCAGGTTCTATAATATAGTGTAATTATTTGGTTCTAAAAAGAAATTATATTTATTCCACCAAACTGAATAAATTAAAATAAATGCAAGAAAAATATTTATTACTTTCAAGGATGACTTTGATACATTGGGATGTTCTATGACAACCTATAGTGTTAGTGTTGATGTAAATGGCACGTGGCAAGTGCTTCCACGAGTTTTTTTCTGGGTAGATACCTTGCAATGGTAGCAATAATATAATGGGTCGGATATTTTCCCGTAGTCATTCTAAAACAGAAGATTCCTAATGAATTTAATCAGTATAGTATTTAAGATTTTTCTCTGCTTCATTAAAAAAAGATTTTAAAGAAATCACACGTTTTAATAATGATTATATGAAATGCCTTTTTTAAATATTTGTTAGAGTTGCACGTACAAATAATTCTACGAAATCTGGAACAATTTCGAAATCTTCATCAACAGCTTGTAGAGTATGTTCTATCTGAAACAATATCATGATTCCGATTACTACATATATAAACGCCATAACTGTCAAAGTAAATATTGTACATTGGCTTGTTTGGAAACAAAATGCAATCATGTTAATAAAAAGCTTCTAAAGCATATTTCTTGATAATTCAACTAAAATCAATCCGATCACTGTTATTTTGCTTGAACTCGAACCGAAATTATTAAATCGAAACCAAATCAAAAATATATTTCACCTATAATAATATTAAAAATTTCATTTTGTTACATCAAAAAATAGATTTAAATTACTTTATTATAACTTATTTCTTTAATCACCAAAAAGTTCATTTCATCAAATTAACTCTATAAAATCTCAGTATAAATTTTTGAGCCTTTTACCTGATAATTTTAGATGTTTTCTTAAGACGCCTTCTATGTTGTGGTCCAGGCTTGTGTATTTCATCAGAGTGTTTGAAACCACCATTGCAATAATCAGAGTCACAACATAAGCAATAATATACGTAAAATCCTTGGAAAGCTAAATTTTTTGATATTGTCACATGTTTCTGTGCAGATTCAGTATAACGATGGATAAAATGAAATTCATCCCCTGATAAATATTTGGGAGTTCTTACATAGTTTTAATAACATTTTAGATAAATTCTTGACTTCATTTATTAAAGTACATATTTTGAATTGAATTGTTTAACTAGTTTTACTCACTTTCTGCTCGAACTTCGAAGCATCTTTCACCCGATTCAATTGATTCCAGAGGCATATCCTTTTGCAAAAACTAGGCCTAGTTATTGAAAGTGAATCAGGATAATCATTTCTGCACGCATAGCATAACACCTCGCCTTTGACTTGGAAATAAAAATAATAAAACCCACCATTTATTATATATTCCTCACAGCATTTAAAAAAAATCGTTAAACTTACCACAGGAAATTTGATGTATGTAAATCAGAAATAATACGCCCGCCCCATGTATGATTTTCATTTTTTATAATAAGCTAAATAATCAATTATTATAAAATATTTGATGGGCTCGTTTTAACTAATTGTCAGTTGTTTAAATGATTGAAAATGCATGCAAATAGACATATTATCGGTAGGTACTATTTTGTTTCTTATTATACATTAGGATAATATTTAAATTAGTTTTCGTTCCATTTTTTATTAAAATCCAGTAGTTCAAGATAATGTCTAGATCCACCATTGCAATAATCAGACGAACAGGACAAACAATAATAGACATAGTATCCTTCATATGCTAATTTTCGACGAATATCTGTGCACGATTCTTCTTTAGTGCCACCATAACGATTGATCAAGTGGAACTCATCTCCTAAAAAAACATATATCAAATATAATTATTTTGAAGTGTACAATACATCGGTATCGAATTACTTGCTTTGCCCCCGCACTTCGAAGCATCTTGGGGCCCAAACTATTTTATGCTGATATTCCGCAAAATCGCAATAGTTAGGTGAACGAATCAATATTGACGTGATATCGTTTCTGCATGAGTAGCAATTTGCTCCAAACACTGAATAATAAAACTGTTTTATTACCAATAAAATTATTATACATATTACTTATATTTTTATACGAATACGATGTGAGCAGTACATTTGTTAAAAAAAAAACAAATGAATGGAACAAATTATAACACTTGACAATGTAGATTTGATTGCTTGTGTTTTCTGGCGATTAAAAGCGATTAAAAGCTCGATGATTTTTCTAATATAACACTACAGCAGTGCAAATTCACTTTTTTTAAACTCACCAATATCTGCATTTAAAAAACAAATCACAAATATATGCACAATATAAATAACTTTCATTGTGAATGATTAATGCTTCTTCTAATTGTAAACTACCTACACAATCATTGAATTAAAAACAAAAGCACTTTGCTTAATTTGGTCATTTGGTCTTGAAAAAACAGTTATTTAAAATCTGAAATATGGTCAGTATGCAGTAAATTAAACACTTACGTCGTAATTATATAATAATTATTTTATTTATAAACTATAAAAAAGTACTTTACAGAGGGCATAAATATTTTTGGTTGCAATATATTTTACGTTATTATAATTTTCATATAAAATCACTTAATATTGCAGCATTCACGCCGAATTTTTAGGGATAACACAGTTTATTCAAATAGCAGAACACTCACACTTTGATATTGATATTACATACTAAATTTTTATTTTATGCAGAAGTCAAAGGCGTTCTTTCAAGATTTTGATAATATTCAAAAATAATATCCAGAAACTTTTGGTTTTTACATAAAATAAAATATGATATCTCCAAACTTGAAACATCTCAAGGCCAATTGTATTATGCCAAAAACATTGTAAATTTTCACTATCGTGAAATGATAAGTATTAATAGGAATAAATATTAAATAAGTATTTCATGAAATAATTTACAATGCCAAGAAATGGAAATATGATCATGTGGGCTATTTTCTTCTAAAAAGTCCTGCAATAAATAAAAATGCTAAGAACATGGCTATTAAATAATATTGCATTGAGTACAGTGTATTTTAACATATACATAAATCATGCATATGTATAAATCACCAAAGTGCACAGTGGCACACATTAGATTTTTCATCTCAATCAAACCCAGAGTACTCGAATATCGTCCGATTTCAATGTGATGCGTTCATTTGTCTTATCATATAGAATTGTATTTCCTGACGTCGAGGAGTTCCACCTTTGGTGGTCGTTAACTGAAGTTCTTTTGGGAGTTTTTTCAGGACTTGAGTTGGAAGAATCTAACGTTCTTTCGAAATAACTAGACCGGCGGTTGGAAATTGAATCTCTGCCATTGGCAGAATACTGATCGAAACTTAGTCTTCTATCTACAGTTGATGATCTATCAAAGCTCGTTGATCTACGATCGATAGTCGAAGCACGTTCGAAACTTGTTCTTTGCTCTATACTTGAATCATCATCGCCGCTCTTATCTAATGGAAACGAACTACCCTTCTCGAGCTGATTTATCGATCGTTGGTCCAAACTCAGTCTTTTATCGAAATTCATAGATTTCCTCTTCAACGTATCGTCGCGATGCACTATCGTCCTTGATTCATCGGAGGACGATGAAAGAGACGAAGAATTTAATACGGCAGTGGAATTCACGAGCGGCAATCCGATTTCGTGAAATGAGTTCATAGATGAAAAACCACTTTCATTTTCAGTAGAACTTGATGAGGATGATGCTTCCATTATTCGTTGCATTACTCACGCCAACACTCGGACTGCAGCCGCGGATGAGCTTTCCACTGCCTAAAGGAATACCAGAACCCAGGCGACGGACGAAGTCTTTTTTACTGGCAGGGATATGGATTGAAGCTCTGTTAACAGAAGATTAAATGTCGTTGTTTGAATTGATCACATACATCTTGAAATATGCTTAAATATTTTTTAGTAATGCTTACTACTATTTAGTATTTTTTTAAACTGGAATGAGTAAAATTCCCAGCGTTCTGGTAATAAAATCTAAAAGAATACCTATAAAGTATTAAAGAACAATATCAAAATTATAAGTTTGTAACAAAATCTTTCGAGAAACAAACAGTTGATAATAGCCATGTACGCTTAAAAACGTTTCAGTATATCAACACTGCAAACAAGCAATTATTGTAACATTGTTTCCCATAGCATCATTTGCTTTGATTACAAAACCATCGCCCGTAATCTAGGTAGTAAGGCATTAAGGTAGGAGGTATCGTAAATAATTATCATAAATTAGTTTATAATCGCCGTGTCTGACTAACCTGACCAAACGACAATCACCATCCTTGGAGGTCGTCGAATTGGAATCATCGGATGAGGAAAGGCGCGATTTCTGTAAGCTGCCCACGCGGGTGAATGCGCTCGATAAACTGCTGTTGGACGTTGGGTGAGCTGTAAAATATATAAAATTAGATTATTTCCTACTGCTATATTTGGTTTAACACAAAAATGTACTAATTTGTCATATTTAAATGAGACATGTGTTGGTGGTTTGAATAAATTAAATAGTAACAAACCTTAAACAATACTTATATAAGAACAGAACTTAAAAACTATCACGAATAAAATAGAAAATAAGAGGATTATCGCGATCCGAATACGAACCAACCTGTTACAGACGACCCTATCGACGATGCTGATGAAGAGCTGCTTTGTCTTCGCTCCGGAGTCGACGTTCCACAACATATAGCCGGTAACCTTCTATCGTCAGCCGTTGTCAATTGTCGATGATCATCTGATAAAATTTGTCTGTCATCTGCCGAAAGAGGTCGATCTGACAAGGAATCGTGTGGGTCATGCTGGCTCCCGCTATCAGTTAGCCAAGGGGCTCCTGTTTGAAGAAGAGAAGTTGCCAGCCGATGGAGGCGTAAAGCTTCATCAGCTATGCGTGCCGGGTCTAATTCGCGGGGTACAGATACTGCACGTCTAGGACGACGCCTGCGAAAAAGATAAATGATAAATGATAAAAGATAATGATATGGATAATTTATTTGTTCAACATCAACCAGAAATACTATCCCAGTAGACGGTGTATCTACTAAGGGGCCGTTAAGTATTACGTAAGCTCTATATAGGGGGTGGGGGGTTATGATTTGCTTCTTTGGGTTGACATGGGGGACAGGGAGTCGGAAGATGATTACGTCAAGCTAGTATTTTTATTTTTTACCGAATGGCAACCTACATGTCTTGGCCAGTAACAAAAATTTAAAATAAGTTTGTTATGTTCGTAAGATATAATAATTTGTACTCTATGTGGAATACCATATCAGTAAAATCTCTACATCCTAAACCTATTTTCTTATTTTTAAAATTTAATTATAACCTAATAATTACAATATTTAAAAAAACAATACACGTAAGCGTGGGGGTTGGGAGTAAGAGCTTGCTTACTTTTGCTGACAAGGGGTATGGGGGGTAAATAATTGTAATAAATCTGCTTACGTAATACTTGAAAATCCCTAATTTTTAATTAAAATTCTATTCATTATGTGTTTGATTAGCGATCTTTGCACATAAATATGAAAATAATTTACACTAAAATTTAATTTTTTTTTTCTTTTCAAAGTACTCATGAGATTAAGTTACAAGTATCACTAATGACGCAAGCAATTATTTATTTATTCAGGTAACTATACAAACGAATTATGGCATTAGCGCCATAAAAGCAGCGGCGATATCACAATAGAAAAGGGATTTTAATACCTTTTGACTGTTAATTTGACCTAAATAAACTTGGTCTTTGTGATGTTTTGTATTATTAATTTTTGGAATGCAATAAAATTTTATGGTTTACTGAAATTCTATAATGCGCTTTTAGGTTTTCTCAGAAATCGGCATGTTGCTTTACAATTAACCCTTGGACCATTTATTGGTCCATTGCTATCACAAGGTATAGAACGTCTTACTATTATTACTAAAACCACTTTTGGTATGATTGAAAATGTGTCACATACAATGGAGAGCAATAAAATTGTTAATATTTGTGAATACTGATTTTCGCCATATCGAATATTGTATGAATGGAGAACTAAAAGTTATTACAATATCATGTTTTATAATACATAATAATAAGCATTAATAATAAATGCAAAGTTATTTGCATTTAAAGTTAAGAAATTTTTTTTTAGTTTATATTAGATTGAATGTTATTTATCTTATTATTGACAATTTTAATAGATAAACTAATTGATTCATAGATAAATATTTGTATACAGAGAGAAATGCGAACAGGCGACAAGGCGCCTTACCGCGGGAATGCGTTTGTGATTTAACTGGAGCAAATCTTCCGAAAATACTCACTTCAACGCCGAAACTTAACTACGCAACCATATGTCAAATCCTACTATGAATCGCTAATAATAATATGTACCTGTTTACATATTGGAAATAATTATGACATCTGAATAATGCATTCATAGTGCAAAATTGATCCTATATATTAAACCATAGTTAAGTTACAATTGGCTAAACAAATAGAACTTCAACAAGAAAAATTTTTAAATGTAGATTCCAGAAAATTGTGTGAATTTGACACAAATCAAAGCCTTGGTGTGTTTATTCCCAATTACCTCTTCTTTGCACCTGAAGTAATAAATCTAGCTAACATATTATTGACATGCGAAAATAATTGCACATTTGAGTGATCACTATACGGAAGCATTAGCTAAGATATGCGATTTATATTTAGTTGGCATGTAGGATCTGATAGCTCTATGAATATGAAATATTACTGCAGGTTTTGGCAACATGTCTGCTATAACAAGTAATAAATCATTCAGAAACCAATCCTGCAAGCTTTAAACCTTTTCTAAAATTTACTTGATTAGTTCAAGTCTTGAGCAAATCTAAGTCATTTCAACTAGTATAGTTTTGTAATAGTACTAATTTTGGAAATAACAAATTTTAAAGAAAACTAATTGCAAATGGAATATATTAATTGAGTATTTTATAATGCAATTGTTATGCAGACGTATTTTATAACAATTTTTATGATGTTTTTTTTATTTTAATTAAATAAACAAACACCATATGCATCATGGTAAAAGAATCGGAATGACTAAATTCGCATAGTCATTTATGATGTGTATGTGTATGAATTTATAAATATGAATTTTTATTTAGCATTCCTAAATCGAGACTATTTTATATAGTTAAGATATAGTTCATTCAATATAAATTTGAATTTAGTTTCAGAATATTCTCAGCCGATTATGAAATGTAATGAGAACTTATATATTTCGAAAAGTTTGGATAAACATAGTGGGCTAAAATGCAAATTAATGAATCATATATAATTTATTGCTCTATTGTAATATGGATTGATAGCATTTAATTTGGCAATAAATTCTTATCTGCTTCTAAAACCTTCATCAGTATGATATGATCTGTATAACATGTGTTACCAAATCAAATAAGTGTCCAGTACTTATATGATACGATCGCCGTTGCCAAAACTATAAGATTTCTTCCGGGGTCGAGCCACTCTCATTTGCAAATGCCCACATAGTTGATTGAATTACGCAAACACATATGTGCAGGCACAAATATTTCTATTCAAAGAGATCAGAAAAAATGATAAAAATAAAAGACGTTATGAATGGACGTTACAAACATATGCATTCGTCTTGTTCATGCTAACGAACCGAAAATTCTTGTTAAGATACGCTTTGTAATTGATTTTGCTATGTTATGTCCACATGTGTAATATATAGGTTACGTTAAAAAAAGTTAAAAATTTTACGATACATGATATGCATGTAATATTAAATTAAAATTAACAATTTAGATCCCTTTATTCCAAACATACATTTCAAGACGATAGTTGCATTTGAAAACTGCATTTTAGTAATATTCTAATAATATAGAACCCCTATTAAATTTTTCATTAAATTCCAATTATTGAAGCAATCTTAGAGAAATGCCTATAATACCCTTAATTCAGAAAATATAAATAATATAGGTATCTAAATACTATATTAAGAAATTCAATCAGATAATAGTTAATTTTCAGTTACTTAATAGCCAAAAAATGTTCACAAGGCAATAATTATATTAATTAATTAATTCACAGTAAATTTAAATTGAATTGTGAAACATGTTAAATCCACTAAAGCAAATCAGTTTACATTGGCAATTAAACACTAAACATACATAATAAATTAGACTATTAAATTATTTTATTGACTCAAAATAGTGAAGGTGAGAATAAATTTGTTAAATCGCCCATTTTAACATTCACTACAACATTCTGGTTAAATTAACTACCAAAGACATAATCCGCTAAACGTCTTATATGCTCCAGTTAGCAAACTATAAATTTTCAGCGTAATAGGCGAATGCAGAAAATTATAGAATGGGTTACAGCGTTTTAATAAAATTTGGGTCAAAAGTGTAGGTGCATCGAACATAAATGACAATAATAAAATTGTAAAAAATAGTAAATTAAAATTCATTCTAATTGTCTCAGACATGTTGGGGATCGCTAAAAAAATGAGACCTTGAAATCGTTTTTTCTTCATTTTCATATTTTCAAACTATATAAAATGTGTACGAGAGGATTTTTTTTAATTTAAATTATTTTCGGAGATACATCTGTTTGACCATGAAATCATTTTCCTTTTGCAAACTTTTTTAACGCGTTTTTCTCAAAACTGTCTTTTTCAATACGATGCCTACGATTTCTCAAATTCTACTGAACGGATTTACTTGAAATTTTTAGAGGTTCTTCTTTATAGACTTCTCTCAAGCATATTCTTAGCCTCATCTTCAAATGTTAGTTTGCACTATTTTAAAAAAATTCGAGAAACTCAAAAAAAAAAAAAAAATATATCATTTTTTTCAAACAGTTGCTATTTTGACAAAAAGTATCCTTTAACATAATCCTATTATATACCAATTAACATCATTCCAGATCAATAATTTTTTTTTTCATTTCGGATTACTAGAAGAGATGCAATCGTAGTCATGATAATGTGTCAATTGATGAGACCCATCACGTCAACCACTGCCAATTTTCAAAATAATTAACTTTGTTTATATTTTCTTGTACTATTGTTAACATTGATATTTATTATATAAATATGAAACAATGATTTCCGTTTTTACAATTATTTAAAAA